CGTACTTTGGATCCTTGAACTTGGCCATATAGTTCCTAGCTATCTGTCTCCACTTAACCGAATGTAGCAAACAACCCTATCCAATTTCTTAATCTATGGGCCCCACTGTTCCTCTTCATCCTCCTTGTTCATGCATGCTCCAAGAAACGAGCAAGAATTGGTCAAAAGGGAGTCAAAGTGAAAGATTGGGTGGAAAGAGAAACGAAAGTGGCTTTGAAGGTTCATGAGCTCGTATCATTTAGAGACAGTTGGTGAACCCACATTGCCCATCCTCTTTTGGGCATGCTCTGGCCCATTCAAGCTGTCCTCTTCCCTGCAATCCTATCGATGCAATGCATCTACCTAGTTCTCTTTCATAAACAAAATCTAAACAGATCTTCACTCCAACTTTCTCCTCTCAATCATTCCCATTATGAATTGGCAACATCCATTAGATCTATTTGTACATGAATTTGTGGGATCCATTTGCTTTGTGTGCGGGTGAGATTGTTAATGGCCCTACATTGTTAGGAGGTACTAGTTGCTTAATCTACTTAGTTGATTGTTGATTTGCCCTTGATTAATGGTTAGTGGAGATTGTGTTATAAAGGTCGTTGTATGATATAATGGTGAAAGTATCGATCTAACAATCATGAGATCGTGGATTTGAATATAATGTTAGTCACTTTGTGTCAAAATGTCAAATAGTAGCTTTTATATCCACTTCACCCTCTCATGTTTATTGATTAATAGGAATCAAATTAAGTGACACTTTTATATATTTCAGAGAAGATATAACCATTAATTTTCAAAGCTCCGCATAGGAATGCATGACTGATGCAAAACTAAGGCCCATCTAAAAGTATTTTTTTTATAAGAAAATGCATCATAGCCTTAGAAAAACAATTGCTCATTAAACACTTAAGTGATTTTTGTATTATTGAAGGTACTTTTCAATATTCTAAAATCTTGTAGTGTAGGGTCAAACCCAGAACCTGTTTCGCTTTATAAAATACAGACAATATACAATTTATATGATAAAGTACAATATAATTTAAATTTAAAAAAAAAAACAAAAAAATTTATTTTTCATTGTTAAAGTCTCTTTAAATTTTACTTAAAAGTTAATCCGACAGTTAATATTAACTCCTCAAATTTAATAGGAAAAATAAATTTCCAAAGAATGTGTTTGATATAACTTTTCAAACTTCTCATAAGCACTTAAAAAATAAAAAATAATGTTTGGAATCGTCTCACCATAACCACCACCACCACCACCACCACCATTACCACCACCACCCTACCACCATCACCACTATCACCATTACCGCCACCACCACTGTCACTCCATCACCACCTCTGCTTCAATCACCATTACCACCATCACCACTGCCACCGCCACCACGACAACAACTACACCACTACTACAACTGCTGCCACCACTCCACGCCATCGTCGTCACCACCACCACCGCCTTACCACCCTCACTACCGCCACCACCACTGTTACCGCCACCCCACCACCATCACCGTTATCATCACCACCGCAGTCACCCCACCACCGCCACCGCCATCAACATCACCACCGTCGTTACCCATTATCAATTACTATCATTGTTGTCCACTATCACTACCCACCACTATTATTATTTCATTCTTATATTTATTACAACTACCACAATTATCCCACCATCACGGTTGCCCACCGCCACCCATTACCATAATCCACCACCACCAATTGCCCACCACCACAATCCACCACCGTCGCCGCCTTGCCATCATGGTGGCCCACTACCATCGTCGTCACCCATGACTACCACTACCATCATCATCACCCATAATCCACCATTACCATCACTGTTGGCACCAATGACTGCCACCACCATTACAATTAATACTTAATTTTTTTTTTGTTCTTTATGTTTGTGATTTGATTTTGGGTGTGAATACAAATATGGTTATGATTAATAATTTTTTTTATTACTTCATACTTTCAGGCACGAATAATAACTAATGAATTAATATGCTGTCATGAGATTTTCCAATGAAAGATGTCTGGCAAAAATTTCAAAAAAAGGTAGTCCATTACACGAGGCTCCTTTCATTGTGGTCAAATTTGCATGGTCTTCCCTCCGCATGCGGAGAGCAGTTTGTGGTTTCACTAGTATGTAAACAGTTACTTTCGATCCTCACAAGAATTACCAATTAGCTTTCTGCTATTTTTCTGTTGGCAAATGACAGTCCTCGACAAATAGGGGGGGGGGGGGGGAGGGGGAGGGGAGGGGGACATGAACCCTTGAGCTCAAGAAAACAAAGCGTTCACAAACGCAAAAAGTACCATTGGACTCTACACATATAATATAAAGAAACAGCTTAGATTAAGTTTAATCAGTGTTAATCAGAGTGCAAAGGAAGACATGTGATTGGAGAAGGCCAAAATCAACTGTCAATTAATCATATTCCCACTATTATAAGGAACAGTTTTCTGCTTACTAACCACCTTACTGGAAGTCTCCAAGTCAAAATTCCTACTTGGCTATTATGCAATCAGTGTGTTGTTTGAGCAGACAAGCAATACACCATAAAGTTCAATTAATCAAATCCTTAACACAGAGAGAGAGAGAGATATGTGTGTATGTTTTGATTCCTATTGATGTGCTTTGAAATACTTAACAAATTGTGCTACAACGGCTTTGGTTAAATAATTGTATATTATTGATGCATACATTATCGGGCACATGCACATGCATATCTGCTATCATTTCCAATCAAGGATTTTCATTAGTGGGGAGAAAAAAAAGAAAAACTATACCCTTCATTAATCATTTTCAAATTCCCCCACAAGGTGGGGTTGATACAAGAATATATTTTGCATGTGTGCCTATGTATAGCAAGTTTGGCGACAATTTGATTGAAAGGAGGAATGAAGCATCTTCATGTGTTGTGTGGCAACGAGGGACAGCAGCCAAAACTGAGGTCAAACAAGCCAAGTTGAGTGGAAGCAAGTCCTTCATACCCTCCTCTCACTATTCTCTGCACCTTCTGTGCCTCGTATGCCTTTGCCAGCTGCAACATAAAACAATCAAAATATTAATACAAGTACTGGTTACACTTTATGAATAGATGCATGCAAATTATATATTCATTGTTGACACTATTCGGTGCATGTGTGTGTGTGTAAATCAGGATCATATTCAAGTGTTCGAACCTTCAAAGTATAGAAAATGTTTGTGCTTTCTAACAACTACTCAAAGATCAAAATTTTATTTCGGTTCATCATTTTAATGAGCTCAGAAATGAAAAAAAAAATTGAAAACATGATAGAAACTGATTTTTTTTTGAATTTTGATGGCAAAACTTTCCAATACACACCATTTTCTATTCACTTTTTAGTTTCAACCTAAATGTTTCCATTTGGTGGAAGCAATACGAAATTGGCACGTGCATCTGATACCAAGATTCTCACTCACAATTGAGTTCAATATAAGCCAAAAGTACATAGAGAAATTAGGCTTTTTGTTGGGCAGCTCCCATGAAAAATGTGGTTGTTTTGCAAAGGTTCTAGCAAATAGCAAGTACCTGCAATGTTTCTATTGCATCTCTCTCCGAATTGAAGCCATAAAAATTGCTTGCTGCAGTAAGTTTCATAGAAAGAAACTGAACGAAAAAGCACAGAATGAGTTTAGCTTTTGATTTGATAACCAATTTTAAATGGAAAAATTTGATATGCTGATTTCGATTCACCTCAACTTGATTTTGCAAGGAATGGACATAATTAATAATCTCATCCAACATTACTGCCATGCCCATAGTCTGAAATTTGGTTACCCAAGTCATGAACATTAGAACCCTGATTTTTATTGTCCATGTAACTGATATCATCTTATTAAGCAAAACTGACAGAGTGAGAAAAAATTAATTCACCTTGTAGCAACCTGGAACAATATCTTTCAAGCACCTAAGTCTCTCATTAATTTTTCCCCTTCTAACCTGAACAAACAGCAAATAAATTCAGTAAATTGATCATAATTTCTAAAAAAAAAAAAATCGAAAAGGAGAGAGACAAATATTGATTATAATCAGGTTGAGAACACTGCAATGCATTAAAGTTAATTACCCTTTCAGCTAAACTGTGACTATTAGTGGCTTGGCCTCTTCTGGCTCTCACATATACGGCTTCTTTTGGTTTTCTTCTCTTCCTTCTCATTGCTTTTCATTTTCTTTCCTCTACCTGAACTCTGCTCAAGTACAACAAATGAAACAAATTATATAACTCCACATCATATTAAAACATATTCATAAACCAAAATAAAAGATCATAAGCAAATTCAAACAATATCTCTTACATTTTGCCTTGTAATTCCATTCTCCGAAGCTGGAGGAGTAGAGTATCCAGAACTACTTTCTGATGCATCTATAGCTTTTCTCTTCTTGCTCTCTTGAAAATCACCTCCAGAGACAAAGTGACCAGAAACAGGTATGTCATTTTTGTCATCATGATGGAAAATGCATGGGAAATTTTCTTCTAAGTTTCCTGAGAAATCGGATAATTGTTTGGTAAAGAGATTGTCATTGGAAAAACTCATGAAGCTCTGGAAACTTAAGTTTGAGCTCTCTATAACAATTTGGTTTAGCTCTGGAAACTGGTTGATAAGTCCCATGCTTGGATCAGCATCTAGGAAAGATATTGAAGGTTCAAAGCTCTGCAAATTTGATGTGAAGTCAGCCATGGAACTTGGTATTATGAATCTTCTTGGTCAGCTAAATGTATGTCTTGTTAATCAGCTTGAGACTGCTAGTCATTTATATATAGAGTAGGAATACAATGTTGAGTTTGGGTAGATTGTTTTTAATTGAACAATGAAAACAAAGCACCATTTTAAGGGGACCACATGGCAACTCAAGCTTCTATGGTTGTGCTCCCTATTGGGACCCATATTCGGGAGGTATATCCAATAAGGTGGGCCCATATTAGCCATTGGCTTTTAGTTCAATTAAAATAAAGGAAAAGGTTTGAGCTAACCTGGAAATTTTGATTACTTATTTTCCAAGTTCAGGGAAGCTTTGGAAAGCCTTCGGGAATGACATTATCCCTGTAAGTAAGCCCTAGTTGGTGAGCTGTTCTTTTACACTATCCACTAGTGGCTAATGATTTGACTTACAATATTAAATTAGTTAGGTGCTGAATATATATTTTGTGCATTCTAATCAAATATCGGAATTTTGATGTATAACATGTATTAAAATTAGGCTCCTAAAAAATAATCGTGGTGAAATGATGCCTATCATCACATATACTTGATTTATGAAGACAACTAACGCTCTTACTGCAACGCTCAATGGTGATACTAATCAATAATAAAATTCTAAATAGAAAATGTGAATCTCACTTGGACTTACATGACAGAAGGGTGAATAGTTATTTGGTTACATGACAGGTTAGTTATGAATTTTTGTGGGGTTCATCTGCTTATTTGTTTTAGTATTTATTGGCTAGTGATACTGCATCACCTTAACACGAAGTATCACTGTTGTAATGAATATTTTCTCCATTATAGATTGCTAGCATTAGCCTGATTTATGGGAGATGGTGCATTTTCTTCTTCTTTTTTTATTTTTTTATTATTTAATCATTGTTGGAAATACCAGGGTAAAGGGAAAATGAAACTAATTAGGGAAAATCATAAACAGGCTGGGAGTGTATGTCAATGTCTTTCATACTTTGTTGAAAATACCACATTTAGGCAAATTCATGTCCGACTTTGAAGAAAATTTGTTGACTCTGATCAGAGTTGGAGTTGGAGTCGGAGTATGCAATCCATTCCTAAAAAAATTCAACTTTGATTATGACTTTTTATTAATTAATAATTTTATATAAATTATAAATTACATAATATATTATTATAAATCCAAAATATTAAGTCCAACCCACCAAAATCCTTAAGCCCAGGCCCAAAGCCCAACTATAAATAAACATTACCCCTACTGCACCGAATCACCTCCCTACCCCTTTCTCTCTCTCTCTCTCTCTCTCTCACTCACTCACTCACAGATGACACGCACCAATAATGGCAACCTTCCATCTCCCCTCCCTCTCTCTCTCTCTTTCTTAGTCAAGAACGACGATCATCTCCTCCATCTCTCTCCCTCTTTCTTAGTCAAGAACGACAATTATTCCTCCATATCTCTCCCTCTTACATCTTGAGTCGAAAGCAGAATTTTAATAGTTTGGAGTCAAATTTGGAGGAAAAAATGCACTCCGACTAAAGTCAGAGGTTGGATATGTGCTAACTCGGTCGAAGTCGATGCCAAGCCCTAGTTGTGGGTTTCTCCGGGGGTGATTTCATTGATGGTAAAAGTTGGGTTTCTCTCTTAACGCCTTAACTTTTTTACATCAATGAACTTTTTGATTACTGGGATTAGAATTATTTCGTGTTAGATTCACAGAAATACCATACTTTGAAAATCCACAAAAATAACTAATGATATAGAAAGAAATGGACGTCAAAATCTTACACCAACAAGTTTTTTGAAACCAAACTTAATGAAATTTTTATTTTTTAAAACTATTTTTGAAAAAACAAAAGGTTTCATTTTCCCACTTAGTTTGTCGGTTAAATCAATGATTCTCTTCTTAAAGTAATAAAAATTTCTAGTTAGACTTATATCAATGCAATAAAAGAATCATCCCTTTTTATTTGTTTGTCAAATAGAAAGAAAATAAAAGTCCAAAAAAGTCTTTCTTTACCACTTTTTTTTTGGGGGGGGGGGGGGGGGGGGAGAGTTACATACAGCTAGGGGTGTCCATGGGCCGGGTTACCCACGGATCCCGTTATTCAGCTCGAAAAAAATAGGTCCGACAGTTGGTCCGTCCGAGCCCAATATCTTTAAAAAGAGGGCTTGAGTTTGTCCCCAAATTCATTATCCGGCCCGAAACCCAGCCCAAGAGCCTGCCCGCCCGTCAAGCCCAGCCCAACCTACCCTTCCTTTGAAAAAGAGTTACACTTTTGGACTATTAAATTTAAAATTTTGAAATAAGTCTCTCAATATTGAAATTTGAAATTTTAAAAATTTAGATATTATAAATAATGTATTACTTTTTTCCATGTATTAAGTATATAAGTTTTAAATGGTAGAGTAATACAAATGACAAATAGGTTAGTAGATGTTAACCTAGTTGAAATTTATTCATTTTATTAGATGTAGTTTATTATTATATTTTTATCCATTTTGACTTTATTTTTGATTCAAAAATATAATTTACATAAGTATTAACTTACAAAAATATTCATTATTTTTTATAATAAAAAAATCCCTCAAACAGGCCTGCTCAATAGGCTCATGGGTTGGACTGTGGGTAGCCTATCTTTACCCGAAGCCGGCCCGGCCCATCCCACTCCATAACTTACTTGGATAAGGGTTTGGGCTTTTACTACCTAGACCCAACCTAAAAAAATTTCATGGGCCTAGCCAGCCCCGGGCCATGGACACCCTCGCATACAACTGATGGAAGTGAGCATATTAATTTTGAATCATTTGCATATATTAAAACTCACGTGCATTCATAATAGGTGATAGTTAAAATAATTGAAAGTAGGTGGAGATGGGCAAATAAAGATAACAATTTGACTAATTAAATTTGTAGTTAAAATTAGACAGAGAAGCTGGAATAGCTCAGTTGGCTAGAGCGTGTGGCTGTTAACCACAAGGTCGGAGGTTCAAGCCCTCCTTCTAGCGTTTTCTCACTTTGTATTTAATAAGTCTGTCTTTTTTCAATAATATTATTTAAAATTAATTTACTAATTAGAACTACCTAATTACAGTTATTAGATCGATAATAAATTTTATTAAATAATAAGATATATTGTTAATTTAAAGATATAGATTAACTAGCAATTATTCGTGTCTGAACGTTGAATGCAACAAATAAACAAAAATTGCCAGCAAATACTCTTCAATAAGGTATTGTATAGCACAAAAAAATTATCAATTAGATGTCTGTATAATTAGATTGATAAGCAACTAATTCATTACCTTCAATTCTCACCTCTACATTTTTTTGAACTCAAACAAGAAAATGAATTTGATTGATGAAGACACTTCATTACCGCAAATAACTCAATTTTAGAGGAATCTATATTGTCTTCGTTAAGAAATTAAACATAATTTTTTTTTTCCTAAAATGATTTATAAATAAAAATGCACCAAATATAAACAAGAAGAATTTCACCAAAACATGTCCGAAAAATTTTGCGAAACATGCTAGTTAGCAATCTGGCCAGACAAAGATGGAAAATATTGCATAATTTATTATCAACTCAATTTTGACATAATTATAGGTATCTCGGATATTTTAAATTTGATTCCATCAAAGATCGATCAAAATACATATTCAATAAACCTGTTTATCATGGGTGGGGATCTTTTTTCGCTTTATTAAACTCTCAATCCCTGTTATATTTATCCTATTAACGGCTAAGCTTACACCATTCTATACATACCCTCATTAATGATTCACCTTATTTCTCTTGAAAAAAAAAATACGTTGATTTCTCTTGAAAAAAAAAAAAGTAAGTTAAGTTTGTATATTTATGTATACTAGCTGCAAGATGCGGAATAATTAAACTATATTTTAATCATAACTAAATTTAATTATTTATTTATTTATAAATTTTTGAATACCTAATTTGACATTTATTTAAATATCCCTCTTACCCTTCAAACATTTGTACATCTAATTATATTATAGAATTATTAATTTTTATTTTATTAAATAAATTGATTAGATTGTTTATAATCTATATAATAAATTACAATACAATTCAAATTTTAAAAGATAAATAATATATTTCTATTTTTCGCAATTTAAATCTCTTTAAATTTTACTTTAAAATTAATTCGACAGTTAATATTAACTCTTCAAATTTAATATAAAAAATAAGTCTTTAAAAGTATATTTGAGATGACTTTTTAAAAGTGTTCCTAGGATTTTTAATTTTTTATAAATAATTTTTTTAAAAAAATAGTGTTTAAAACTACAACACCACCACACCACCACCCCCACCACCATCACCATTATCACTACCACCACCACCACTCCACCACCCTCTGCCACAATAACCACCATCGACATCGCCGCCCCACAACCACCAGCTCACTCATCGCCTCACAACAACCATCACCACTATCACTGCCTCCCACCCCCACCTTCATTGTCGCTACCCCACCACCATCTCTGCCGGAACAACCACCACTACTGCCACTGCCCCCTACTGCCACCCCACCTCCACCACCCCCTTTACAGTCCCACCATCACCATCACTATTACCACCTTCACCTCTACCCCCACCACCATCTTACCACCGTCCTATTATCACCCCCGACCACCCCCCTCTACTGTCACCTTTGTCATTCCACCATCGCCACTACCACCACACCACCACTGTTCACTCCCAAGTGTTTAAATTTTTTATTTTATTTTGTGTTTGTAATTTAATTTTAGATATTTATAATAATTTTTTTAAAATTTTTTTAAAACTTATAACTTCTCACACGAGCATGTTGAAAAAAAAAATAGTATTTGTTGAGAAGAGTCTTCGTCAAGATTAACAATAGGAAAATGATTTTCATCTGTTGAAACCTCATCAAGGTCAATAATATCCTACCTATGGGATGAGCTGACCCTTGCTTTGGCAGAACCACCAAACATGGCAGAAATAGAGGACGAAGT